GAGGGCTGGCTATCCTTTGCTCTGCTTGTGCTTGCTTGTGGTTTTTTGGGTTGCGTTACCATTGTTACTTAACTTCATGACTTTTGTAGACTTTACACAAAAATTATAATCTTAAAAAATTTAGTTAGAGAACTTAGCTTTAGCCTATTTTGAGACATAAAATTAATAGAAACTTAACGATATTAGTTATTAATGGTGTTTAGTATAATTATCATTTATCAGGGGTACATTATTCATTTTAAATATTGCATGGATACATGATACATTTTTAAATCTTTATAGGTAAATATAAAAAATTAAAAAATGGAAGCGAATACTCTAAAAGTGTTTTTTTTTTTTTTTTTATTCATTCTACATCCAATTTAGATAGACATTCATTTAGTGGGCAAAATACAATATGATCTGAGTCAAAATTTTAATATTGAGAGTTGAGTTTGATCTAATTGAATTTCCTCAAATTCAAATTAGATTTTAGAAGTTTGTACCCAATAATTAAAATAAACTAGCAATTTAACAATTTGTATACAAGGAAAGAGAAATAATAATATAATATGAAGTAGTAATTTCTTACTTCCTCCGTTCTTTATTACTTGACTTGTATTTCTTTTAATTTGGAAAGTTTCTTTTTACTTGATCTGTTTTCTTTTTTGGCAAATTTAACACTATACTTTACTTATTTACCCTCACATTTTCAACATAATTAAAACCATAGATCCTTTGTTACCTTACCCCCTTTTTCTCTCACCTCAATCATTCAACCCCAATGCTTCATAGTTCACCACCATAGCCTCCCTTCCTCCTCCAAGTTATCCATGGCAGCCACCCATGTCCACCACCCTAACAATATTTTTGAAACACCACGCAACATTAAATCATTACCCTTATCTCCCTCTTCACCGTCACTGGTCTCCAAACTCCTCGCCTCATACATTCTCTCGTCACCTCCACGGTTCTACTATGCACCATCGTCACTGCTTTAGTTTGTAAAAGAGCTTAAAGTTCACCAAAATCGAGACCGTGGTGGTCGAATTAAATTAGAAAGTGTTACAATTATTATGAAACTAATTAATAAAAAGTGTAGCGCTGTAAAAATTACAAGGAAAAATTAACGCACCTTTTTAAAAAGCATGTGGGCCATGTGACCAACCCCAGCCCTTTAAGCCATTGGGCCTATGTTGTAGGTTTCATCTAATCAAAAGCTTTGTACAAGGCTTATTAATAATGGATAATCTGCTTTAGATTCATTAACAATTCTATAAATAGTATTAAGAAATCACATTTTTGTCGTCAACAAATCCTTTTTCACAAAGTAAAATCCCTATAATCTTCTTCAATATTTCCTTTCTTGGAAATGGCAAACAATCCTAACATACTATACATACCAATACGTCGTGAAACACACAAAACGAGGTATTTTCGATCATTTTTTTTGTCAATTCTGACCTCAAATTGGAGCCAAAGGACCAAAATGCCCCCCTAAACCTATAAAGAACATGTTTTGCGCACGAAAATCAAAGAATTTTTTTTAAACCGCTAGATTTAACGGTTTTCTTGACGAAAGGTGTTAAAAAACAATTTTTAGAATTTTTTGGTGGTAAAATAAAAGTTTTGGTGGTACAAAACAATTTTTTAATTTTTTTAGGTGGTAAAAGTCAAAAAATCCTCATTTTAATTGTCATCTTATTTTAATGATTTCCGTCTTCCAGCTTAATAATATTGTTAAAGATATGAGTTATAATCATGAAAGTAGATTTTTTTTTGAGCTTGTGTTGTTGAATAGTGAAAACAAAGAGTTGTTGAATAGTGAAAACAAAGAGGTGTTGAATTTATTTTGATATGGTATCAGAGTAGATAAGATCTTTAGGACGTTCACAAAATTTATCCCTTCTGACCACTAGTAGGATCTCATGACTGTAATTCTCTCTCTATATATAAAGTTATTGTAAGACAAGTTAAAGTTACCCTCAAAGTATCTAAAGTTGTCCTCATTTACTACAAAATTTACCAATTTCCTAACACAATCCTTAAAAAGCGCTTATAATATATTAGACTGATCATGTTAACCTTCATAGCATGTATCCATTAGATTTTACAAATTAAAATACAATCAAACTCATTACAAATTAAAAGTTACTTTTAAAGGGATTAAAGTTACCATATAACTTGTTAAAATTAATCTTAAATTGACCGTCTATCAACAAAATTAACATAAGGTCTCCTTATACAAGACTGATAGTAGATTAAAATTTCATCAACCATTCAACTATTATATTATATTAACCAACTTTTCAAACATCATCAAATATATTATGGGTATATTTTTTAAAAATAATACAATTATATATTTATAACCTTTAATAAAAGTTTATGATATGGTGTATATATATACTAATTAATTAAGTTATTTTGTATCTCATTTATTTTGAATTTAGTATTGTAAAAACGGGTGGAAAGCATGAAGTTATGAATCCAAAGGATATGCATACAAAATTAACATTAGAATCTTAACTTATGTTGTAGAGGCGATTAGAAAAAACATTTTTATCCATTCTTTTGATTTAAAATCTTATGAAGTAATAGTAATTATTTCATTTTGCTTGAATATATATCTTTCTAAAGTATCACTAACGAATAAATTATTTTAAGATGGTTTCCATCAAAAATAGATTAGCAAAGACATAAATGGATGAAGCTTTGCCAAATACAAGATCATAAAAACCAAAGAGAATGAAGTTGCAAATAATGATAACAGAGGAAACAATGTAAATGCTCCATCAAAGTCCAAAATGTCATGTGGTTGACTTTATTTGTTTAGGAAATTTTTTAAATAATAATCCCAACTTTGCTTCATTTTTTTTTAATAATCTCATTTTTGAATTATTCTAGAATAATCTCAATTTTAGGGGCTGTTTACTTTCTTCAATCCCAAACCGGTCAACAAATAATAGGTCACTTGACACATGTCAAGTTGAAATTGGTCCGAAAGGAAGAACCGGAAAAGGAAGGGTTGGGTTAGGGAAGGAGGGCGGCGATTGGGGTGGGTTACAATACCAGCGCAGGGGGAGGGGGAATTTAGCGCAGCACCTGGAGTGGGGGAACGGATGGCCGACATAAAGGTGGTCGGATGGTTTGGCAACCGTAAAGGGGTGAGGCTGGGTGAGAATTTTTTGAAATTTTGTTTTTGTTTTTTGTTTTAATTTTTAACCAATGATCTTGCAATAAGTGTCAATTTTTGTAAAAAAAAAATAACCTATTCAACCGGTAACCGGCCAATGGGATTGAAGAAAGTAAACAGCCCCCAAAGTTGGGATTATCCCACAATAATCCAAAGTTGGGATAATTAAAAAATATGGAGCAAATTTGGATTATTATTTACAATTTTTCCAGTTGTTTATTTATGTCTGAAAAACGATTTAGTTTAAATATTGATATTGCTTTACTTTTATCTATTTTTTTCAATTTTATTTGTTATTCCCTCCGTATTTTATTACTTGCTTCATTTTCCAAACACGGAAATTTAGAAGGAATAGTTGAAAGTATTATTTTATGATGGAATTGAGGTTAGTTGAAAAATAAAATAATTTTGAAAAAGCAAAAGTACATAAGGATAAGTGGGGAAGAGAAAATATGAAAAATATTAAAATATTAAATGAGGGACTACTAGGGGGAGAAAATAGAAAAATATTGTTAATAGTTTTCAAAATAGGAAATGGAGCTAATAAATTAGTAAAATATTGTTAAAAATTTCCAAAACATGAAATGAAGCAATTAATAAAGGGAAATTCTCTTTGGTAAGACTCAAATTTTTTTTTTTTTTTTTTTTTTTATCTTTGGTAATCTTGTGTTTTTTATTACCATTGATAAGTGTTATTTTTATAAAAATCCTTAACTCTGGTTAGGTTTTTTTTTTTTATAATTAAATTATTATAATTATTTTTAAAAGATAATTAAAAAAAAAAAACCCAAACCCCACTTAGCCACCAGCAACTCCTCCCTCTACCGGCGGCCAGGTTCCCAACCCCCGGCCGGTGACGCCCGGCCTCTCCCGTCGCTGGCCGAAAACCCTAAACCCAACCCAAAAATACCAGAAAGCGCCCAAACCCGTTTAAGGTTTTGAAACCAAACCCAGGAAACGAGTTTGATTTTCTGGTGGTTTTGGGTGGGTTTTAGGGTTTTCGTGGTCGGCACACAGGTGAGGGGGTTTTTCGGGGAAGGGAGTCAGTTTTCGTGGTGGTTTGGGGTGGGATTAAGGTCCGGCGGTGTGGGAAATGGGGGTATGTCGGGGTGGAGAGAAATAGAGGAGGTGGGGGCGGAGGAGGCTGGGCGTCGCCGGTTGAGGGTTGGGCGCTTGGCCGCCGACCACGGGAGGGGCTGCTGGTGGCTAAGTGAGGTGGGGGAGGGGTTTGGGTTTTTTTTTATAAATAATTTTATTTTATTATTTGTTGAAAGAAATTATATTTTATTGTTAAAAAAATAATCAAATTAACCAAACAACTTTAACCATGTTAAAATTTTAGTAAAAAATAATCATTAATGTTATAAGCAATAAAAATTAATTGTATAAGATTACTAAAGAGAATTGAAATTTTTTCAATTTACCAAAGAGAAAAAGAGAAAGTTGAATGTTACCAAAGAGAATTTCCCATTAATAAAATGTGGCAAAGAAAAGTAGAGCAAGTAATAAAAACGGAGGGAGTATATGTAATTAATTTAAAATGATATTTTTTGGGGTTTATTACCGTGCATGCCTCGAGATTTAACAATCAATCAATAAACACATGTAGTTATACATCAAACTATTACTCCTTCCGTCCCTTAATAATAGTCCCTTATGGACAATTTTCACGGGAATTAATAAACATAAATAAGTAGTAAAAGTACATTAGAAAGATAAATTTTACATTGGGTATGCAAAAAAGTAGAGAGAGAAAGTACTAAAAGTACATGAAAAAAGCAAAATTTAAATTGGAAAGTTAAATTTGCATAAATATTGTTGCAAATTGGAGGAAATTTTGAAAAAAAAAAATAATATTAATAGTACTGAAAAAAGCAAATTGGACTATCATTTTGGGACTTAAAATTAGTTATAAAGAACTATCAATAAGGGACGGAGGGAGTATTAATTTAAGGCAAAAGCTAACCAACCCCCAGTATAAGAAAACTTAAAGTAGATATATTAGATTAAATGAGCATTAATTACACCAATTGACGTGTGATTTTGGCATGCATTCCCAAATTAATACCACTTTAGGATCTATTTTAAATACTTATCTAACGTCCCGGGGCATTTGTTAGCAAGATAGATACTTTAATATATACGTTGTACCAACAAAATAATATTTACTGGAATTCCACAAATAATAAATGTAGTAGAATTCATGTTCATACAATAGTACATTGATGAAGAAATTCAATCAATCAAAAATAATTCTAATACAAAGTAGATTTTTTAATCATTTAAATGATTTGTATCTATCTGTATCATTTTCACATTCGTTAGTCAATTTAATTTATACTCGGTACATCATACGTTTGTTTCACACACACAAAAAAAAAACACAAAAAAAAGAGAAAAAAAAAAAAAAACATCATACGTTCTAACCTGTGTTGGAGGAGAGGAGACTCCAATGTATCTCAATGTATGGTAATTGGACACAATTTTTTTTTCCAGATAACGAAACAGATGAAGCTTTCAAAATTCTTGCCTTTCGCAGCAAAAAAGTTGCACATGATTTTTACAGACAATTTCCTATATCAATATTCTACAATGATTTTATGATTCCTAAAGCTTGCTAACTTGGTTAATTTTCGAGTTTATAATGTATGTGCATTTCTCATCTTTCTGAATTTCGACCAAAAAATATTGTGACGTCCCCCTCCATACCAATCTGCATGCTTACTTGCATTGACATGCGATTAAATTTCACATATTTCTTTGATCTTCTTTTTCAAGGTTTAAACTTTCTTATGCAAAATCTTTCTGAATGTCTTTTGTATTGAAGCTATCTTTCATCATCATCTTCGTCATCTTTAGCCTTTCCCATCTGCCTCGTACAATGCTTGTATTTTTTATTCTGAACTAGTACTCTCTTGAGGATGAATCTGGAACAGGCACAAGAGAAACAATTAATGAATAAGAGGTTAACAACTACTTGTATGTTATTAAAGTACACAGGATAGAGTTAAAAACAGAAGCACTTTTAGTTCTCACCTGAGGATTATCAAAGCTCATAGCTCTGATCTTGAACTCCCCTGGACTAGTCGTCAATTCATCTAGTATCTCAGAATCATCTCCCTCATCATCATCAGGAGTTTCTCCTTCCTGATTACAGACATCAAAGTAAGCCAAAGGTCACCAACATATGCTTAAAGTATGCAAGAGTTCTGCAAGTATGACAAAGTGTACAACTTTTGCTTACCCTGAAAGACATGCTATGAGAGCGTCTAGGTGCACCAGCAATCTCCTCATAGCCAGCCGCGTCCAGTTCTTGAAGATGAAAGGGATGAAAAAACTTCGGGAGGATATGTTGGCGTATGCTTATGAGAAAGAAAAACGGCAAGGGGAAGAGTATCCCTGCTATTGGTACCCAAGTAACTCCAAAGCATATCAACAAGTACACGATTTGGAATACAGTGAAAGCAGCAATGCATTTGAAAGGCACTGATTCCACATATGACGCATGAGCTTCTTCCAGAACCCTGGTTTCAATGGATAGATATCAATCGGCTTAATCAGATTGGCATAGCATACCAGGTATTAAGGCTGTCAGCATCGTAATCAACATGATAAAGTATTATTTGGCATCAGTTTAAGTTTTTATATTGTGGTTTTCAAGTGCCAATATGTTCATATGTAGGTTTCTGAAAAAAGGCCTTAAACTGGAAAACCAAAAGTGGTTTCTGAAACCCTGTTCTGTTTTTAGGAAACCTCAAAACTGATGAATTGTGAAGATACAAAACAAGCATATACTCTAGTTTTTAGGTAGTTGGAAAGCTTACTTGTATCGTCTTGCTGGTCTAATGAAGAGGAGGAGGATTCTCTCCCAGAACTGGCTTCCCGGGAGACTGTCAATAGCCATATATGCAAAGTATCCCCATAGAACAGAGGTGGGTATTAGCTTGATCAACGGCATAGCAAACATAGCACATCCTACAAGGACCGACTGTAAGATGTTGCTCACTCTTTGCTCGTTGACTCTAACGGGTAAATAGTAGTCAATGTGTTCAAGTTTAAAAGTTTTGTGTTCCTTTCCGTCTTTGCTATCTCCATTCATAACTGCCTGCTTCAAATCTTCCAACTCCTTCACAACTTCATGTGGCTGAAAATTAAGAATTATCATGGTCCCATTCATGTACTACACTCAACAGAGTTTATTTTCAATTAACGAGTTTCAATAACGTATGAGCAAGTATGTTTGAGAGCTTCTTACATTGGGATTTTGATCCATTTCGATGAAAACATCCTGCATCTGACCATACACTTCAGTGCTGCTAGCGTTTTTCTGTATGCTTTCCTTTGCAGATTTTACCATTTTTCTCCCCATCAACTGTCGTCAGATCACAATCACATGATATATAATACAAGTTGCTGAATCATGTAATTGCTAATAATATGATGAATCAATTTGAAATTCTACACTCTCACAAGCCTTACCTGCCTCTTGAGAACAGCAAGGCTCTTTGTATGCATAGGAGATTGTGGAAGAACACCATTTGATGGAGGTAGTCCGAGTAGTCCACAAAGCAAAGTCTGTAATAACAAAAATATAGTTTAGACACGAATATTGGTCACCTCAATTAATTTCAATGTAATGGAAAGGTTGTATGTAATTACAGATTACTTGGTTAACATACCGAAAATCCAAGCACCAAAATGTCATAGTGGTAAGCAGAAGGTTTTTTCAGATTAAATTCCTTTTGCTGAGCTAGTTGTGAAGCGACACTATGGTCGAAAAAGTACAGCCCTGCAACCATCAGAGCAGGAATGATGGCAGCAAAGATGTAAGCTGTGGGCACCCTAACCATATCCTGCATTTTTATTTCTGAAATTTGTCAAGATCCTTTTTAATAGAGTAAAAGGAAACAGTTCCTAGTTAATTAAAACAAAGAAGTTCAAATAGCTAGCTAACTAGGACTATATGTTATTCCCTTTTTTTCCACCTTTGGCTCTGATTCAAAAGAAATTCCTCAAATTTGGCACATAATATATATGGTGCGTATAATGCATATATATTCATCTCGTATTGTGATAAAAGCACAAAATACTTCTATTCAATCCTGTTCAATCTATAGCCAACAGAAAGCAGCAAAAGTTTAGTGGTTGCATATTGAAGATTACCTTGACTACACTCCAATGGTGCAGAGACTTAGACTGCCAAGGCAGAGGACTATAGAGCCTTCTAGGTACACCCTTTGGAACTCCAGAAGGAACACTGAAGGACAAGGCAGTCCAAAGCACAACCATCAATGGAACTCCATAATCTGCAATGAAGCTCCTTATACGACCTGTACCATAGCGCCATGACCTTGCTCTACGGCTCTTTAAGGCCATTACAAAAACACCAACAGTAAATATTATTCCAAGCAATCCATTGGCATATCGCCACTGAAATAGGAACTTCTCTTGGTGTGGATCCTCATCTTTGGGAATATGAAATTCACTTACAACTCCCTACAATAATTATTAAGTACATGTAAACAGAATATAATAAGCACAAATTCAGGGTACTAATGCAGCGTATGTTTCAAAACCAAACAAGATTAGTAAGTTGTTAAGAGTACTTTGATAGCTTCTTGGAAGAAAAGAACAGTAATCAACATCCCAAAGAGCTCCCCAGCAACCCTTGTAAACCGTTTAATGATCGTGGCAACATTGAATATCGAAAGAAAGATCAACATGAGCGCAGTCCACACACAAACCCTGACAAAAATATAGCAACATTAAAATATCAGCAACTACATATCAAATTCAACATGTTTTTCTAAGCAGACTTGATATATGTCAATCATATACATACCATCCTGCCCAAGCAAGGTAAAGTTCCTTTCCCAAACCTGACCGCTCTTTCGCAAAGTTATAGAGATAAGAGTACATGATCACAGTTGGTTCTGCAACCCCAACTATCAGAAGAGGCTGCCCACCAATTATTGAGTGAATGATCCCACATATTGCTGTTGATGCTAATGTTTCAACTGTGCTCAAGCTTCCATCTACATATTGAAAAAAGCACATGAAGTATATTTAACAAATATTGTCATTACATTTTCTGTTTTTTTAAGTGTCGAGTATCAGACATGAGTACTTGAGTGAAACAAAGCGTTGTAATAACTTAAGATTGATCACCTGTGTCTCTGCTGAGTTACTCCCCAAAAGCTATTACAGGAAGAGCAGAAGCAAAGAAAATATAGGTAGTTGGTGCCAGTATCCTAACTCCCACCAAAAAAACAGAACAAACTCTTAAAACAATTTACTAAAAATCTGAAGTGCAACAGCATTTTTTCATGTAAATAGATTGAATCTGAATGAATATTAACATGAAACAGCCCAAAATTACCCAAAACCGGATCGAATTCCACCACTCCAATCTTGCTTGTAACATGCCCATCTTCCATTGAAATCGTTTACAATCCCATAAAATGGTTGCTTCATTATACCAATTCCAATATCAGATATTCCCTAAAAAAGCAAAATTCACCCCATTAATATTCAACATTTATTTCAACAAAATTACTACAATTAAGCTACTAAGTATGAGTATTTCATCTGATATATTTACTTTTCCCAGTAATATTATTCAAATTTAAGTGAGAAAAAAATAAATTTGTAACTACCCAAAATTCAACAATGTAACTGGGTTTGCTTAGTAAATCATTTAACCTATCAACATTGATGGAAAAAATCAAGGGTTGCAGAAATTAAACCCAAAAAATGGTAATAATCTTTTTTTTTTCTTTAACAAAAAAAGTAACATTTTCCAAGAAAATAAAATCAGTGAAAAATCAGATACGCGTTTTTTCTATATTCTTCAAGATACTAAAAACAAAATTACAAAGAATTTGACACAAACAGAAAGCAAAAAATAAAAGAAAAAGCAGAATTAAAGAAAAAAGAGGATACCCATAAATTTTCCGAAGAAAAAGCTATTAAAATTTGACCTTAGAAAACAAGTTACAAAAAATTATACTACTAGCAATAATGTAAATAAAATGACATTTAATAAAATCATGATGAAATCTTTATTATTTTAGTCATGCTAGCTGTAATATATTTACTCCTAAAAGTAATAAAAATGACTAAAAAGAAAATTATAATAAATGAGCTTAAACGATGTGATGAGGAGAGAGATAAAGAATTTACGACGTAGTGTTTCGCCGGAAAAAAGCGTTGGACCACGGTTAATGTGGTGGAAGGGATGTTAGAGTTGAAGAGTAGGAGGAAGTGAGAAGGGAGGTTTAAAAAGACCCGCGCTGCTAGTGTTATGTATCAGTGTGGGGCCCATTTCACATTTTATACAAGTACTTAGGAAAAGGAATTTATGTTTTTTCATAAATTTGATTTGAAGATTATTACTGTAATTTTGTTATGACTTGTGAGTTGTGACTAATAGCTGTCATATGGAGTTTTTTTTTTTTTTTTTTTTTTTTTTTACTATTTATGGATTTATGGTGGGTTTTTGTGTAAAAGTACATTGTAAGATGATTTTTTTTTTTTTTTGGTGTGTGTTTAGAGAGGCACAATGGCGGGTGATAAGAATCGAGGTGAACTCTAACCACTTGAGGTATCATTTACTCTATGAATGAGATTTTTACATGTGTGATAATAAATGATATCGTAGGAATTAACGATGAGCTGACTACAAAATTATGTTTTTTTTTTCTTTTTTTTTTTACAATTGTTGATGTAATTACAAAGATGTCAATGCTATTCAAAAAAAATACAAAGATGTCAATTATATATTTTTTTTTATTTATGTACCATTTGATAAATCAATTGTATTTATCAAGGTGATAAATGGGAGGCTTTCTCCAATTCGTATCCCAATAGACGGGGTCTTGAATTAATTTGAATAGTGGAAGGATGGGCATGGAGATAGTAGTTGGTCTATATTTAGGCTATTCTAGAGTTATAATATTGAGAATAGCAAAATATTTGTATGATTTATTCAACAATTGAAACATAGTTATTGGTTAAACTTTTTATACACTTGCAACTATTTCATTTCGGCGATGACTCGGTCTTGTTAGAGCGTATTAGTTTTACAGTAATCACAATGTTTCGTGTTATCGAGTCCATTATATACATAAAAGTGGTAGCCTTGTCAAATGTAGGGTAATAAGTCTCGTGAACCTTTAAAAACTAGGACAAAAGATCAATTGTTAGAGTTAACTTCATAAATTTACAATGTATGAATGTCTAGTCAATTGGAAAATTGTAACCAAAACGCAAACTTCATTCCTTCATTTTGCCTCCAAGTGAAATGTCATGGAAAGTATTCCTTCAATCACCCTACATCCTACTCATATTAAATTCCGTACAAATTAATTATTTCTAGTGTCTTTTAAAAAAGTAATTAGACTACTCTTTACTTTTATAGGCCATTTGTATGCATTTATCCATTTTGAACAACAAAATTTACTTTCTAAATTTTTGTATAATTTTTTCTTACTACTTTTTCTATAAAGTTAGGCCTCGTAACTTTTATTTTCTACACTTTTAATTCCCCAAAAATCGAGTAAAAAGCATTTGTAACTATAGAGATGGGCAGAGTATAAAAAATTATGAAATTTGCTAGACCAATATTCTAATTTGCAAGATCATAACTAATTTATATTATGTCCTTTGATTTTTTTATAGTCAATTAAAGTATACTATAGGGAAAAAAAATATTATAGCTATATACTACGAATTTGTTTAGGAGGGTCGTTTTGAATTACTCTACTTAATTAATTTCATGTCTACCTCACGATTGTGTACATAATGCTACAACTCTAGCATTTATTGTTTAAATGTGTTCAAATCAGCAACCTATACTATAATATGGTGCTGAATAAAATGGTCACTTTCATATTCATGAAATTGGTAGTAAATAATTATTCTTGAGTGGAATTTTCCATATTCATGCATTTGTTAAAAGAGAAGGGAATTAAAGTACTTGGAGAAATGAAAATCATATGCATAACCAACCTAAGAGTTGTTGATGGTATCGTTTATAAGTGTGTGGTCACACCTTTTTTTTTTTTTTTTTTTTGAATGAATTGAAATTATCAAGATATCAACTTTTAAAATTTTGAATAAATATATAATAATTAATTAGAGATATTAACAATTAAATATATACATTGACAAATATGATAAAAGAAATGTGCCAACTTAATCTGAAAGGAGGAAGTGAATACAATATACAATTAGACGGAGTATCATTTGAAGTTGATGGTGTCCTAATGTATAATATCCTGAATAAAGGAATGGTACCATTTAAAGTTTGAAGTTGATATGATGCAACACATACAAAAATTAACATAAAATCATGTGAATACATACGAACATAATGCATTACTAAAATAGGGGCTAAGCACCCTAAGCATTTTCATATACTAATAGAGTTTGCATGTTTGTTTTAGTATATAGTTATAACTGGTCACACATCATAATATTGCTTATATGAGTGTATAATTCCCGATTTGATTATAACAATTATACCATTTAATTGACGATCACATTTTTTTGGACATTCAGTGAGCTAGCTGGCCATGGTTGCTCACTTGCTCTTATCTGATCTCCCAACATGATTGCTATAGTTTACGCGAGTAATTTGTGTTAATGAATACGAACTTAATAAAATACCATGTTTACCATTTATAAGAAGTGTATGTAATACGACATAGCTTAATTATTGTATTATTGCTTCTTTACGTTATAGATCAATTAGTTGATTTCAATAATCGGTATCACTAACTAATTTAACTATATATACTACGTACATATGAAATGTTTGGTCATATCAACTTTTATTTTTTTTTTTATTTTTTTTTTTGACAATTGCAAAGGAACAAAGAAAAACTACAACAAATAAGGGAAACCTATCCGACATTTCCTAGCAATGTCGTTAGCTCGTTGAACCTGATCTCTATCAACTTTTAAAATTGTGCATCTTTGAAACGCCGCTCCAACTATCCGTAGCTCCTTTAGCAGCCAATTAATGGAGATCTCCTTTCCTTGGTTATCTTGTAAATTATTTAGAAGAGAGATGGAGTCAGATAAGAGAAGAATTCCTTGTTTTCCTTTAGCCCGAGCCCACTTCAAAGCTTCAAGATAAGCCCAGGCCTCACACTGAATGACTGACGCTGTAGTACCATAATTCCCCCTCTCTTCCCTGGCAACACCTTGTATATTATTCTTAACTGCCCAGCCTACCCCTGCTCTCATTGTTTTCTTATCCCATGATCCATCAGCCTCCACTATAAATTTGTCAAAACCAAGCTTTGCCTTTCCTAGCTGCACATGGTTGAAACCCGGGGGAACAAGAGGGTTACCCTTGCTGGCAACCTCCCTCTCATTTGTCGGACTTATTTGTTGTCTGAAGGTCTCATGATCCTCCATTGCAAGCTTTATGAACTCCAAAACCAGACTACATGTCCCCGTGGCTCCATTAAAGCATGTTGCATTTCTCATTTTCCATATACTCCATAGTGATGCTATGAACAAAGCACTTCGGTTACTATTCTTCCCATCCTCGCTATCAACTTTAAACTTACGGAGTACTTAATGTGGCCAATATAATGCTCTCATTCTCGAATAACAGTACAAATTTTTATTGTAACAAAATAAACAAACAATAACGCTAGCTGCTATGTCCTTATGAATTATGATATTATTGATAAGTATTGTAATAGAAATACTATGGTGTACTAACTCCTTGTATGCTAAAGATACAGAATATTAGATGATCTATCAATTTGCATTAATTTCCACTTGCTTTATTATTATAATTTTTTTTTTCATATATTTTAGTTTTACTTTTCTTTTGGTTGCGGTGATGGTGAATCGTAAATGTTTAAGTCTGAATTTAATGTAAGAAAACATGTAACGTACCACTTTAATTCAATGCTGGTGAGCAATAAAATTGGAATTCGACTGACGTACTGACTGACCAAAAAAAGAGAAGAAAAAAAATAATTCCCAACTTCGATTAAGATGCACCAATTGACCTCAACTAGTCCACTTTCCAAAGTATCTCAGTTGAACTAATTGATACTTTGAATTTTATTTTTTATTTTAGTTTTTTCATCTTTATGTTTCTTTACATGGGAAGGATGGTGAAAGATTATATAATAATTTTTTTTGGTTTTTAAAGAGCCACAAGGGCGGAAGTGAGAATCGATTTCAAGATCTTCTGGAATTGGGAGGAAAACTTTAACCACTTGAGTTATCTCTCACTCTCAGATTATATCATAATTATATTACTTAACTAGTACTTTTAAAAATAACCAAGTCAATTAAAAAGCAAAAGAATTTCTTGCATAATTCATATTATTCATGTGACATTTTAACGACTTGTATTGAATAAACTAAATCTAAACTCTTAACTAGCATAAGGTGTAAAACAGCAGCACAAGTTGTTATTTAAGATAAATAATACTCGTACATAAGAATGATTGATGGATTTTTCAAGGAAGATGTGATAAAAAAAGATAACATTGCATTATTGTATGATGTTAAATGGTAAAATAAAGCTTATGTACATTGAACCTAGGGGCACTTTATTTACCTAAGATGATCGTTGTTCTACCATAATTGATGTTATTGTGATCATACTTTGTTCCTGATAATTGATGTTATATATTGAGGAATATACTAGTATATGTACACAATTGAATCAAAGTTTTGTGAATTGAATTGCGATACAAATAATGATCATGCATACTAATTGAAATATATAAAGTGGATTGCAACTGAAAAAGTAGGATATGCTGTATGCATATATGATTTCCAAATTCACCCTAGTTTTCATATGTGAAAGGAAAAAGAGACTTAGCAAATTGTCTATTTATTGAGCTATTTCCTTCAAAGTGTTTTTCATTTTCGAATTGTAACTTGTCAGCATTAAGATTTGAATTGTTAATTGTTCCCTTGTTTCAGACATTCATACATATTCATGTTATAGTTAATAAGATCATAAAAGGTAGGAAAGTAAGGACTATTTTCAATCCATATGTTGTTCTTGTTGGTATGACTCATACGGCGTTGGATTGAATTTGGACCAAATATAAACGTATAATGTATCTGTAATAACTTAAAACTTACAATAAGAGTAATTGATATCTCAAATTAAATTCGTATTCATTGAATTGGGAAATGGTGTGTTGATTGAGCTATGTATGTGCGGACAATATATAAGAGTAATTATTGCATGGTTTTGAACCAAGGCCTCCTCACAATAGGATGATATGTATTGTTGTAAATAAAACTCACTTTACTATCCCACATCAGCTTACATGCCGTGTTTGTAGGCCAATGACACGGCCCACTAATGTGTTGTTCTTAACTACACCAGCTTCATATATATGAATATATAGTACTTTAAAAATGAGCATATGTTTTTTTTCTTTCATTATGTCTTAACTCACTCTCTCTTCTCTTTTCTTACCTCTATTAATTTTCTCTCTCCTCTGTTTTCTACTTATTTTGAAACTTTATATCTCCTCTATTATCTCTATAAAAATGAGCATGTAAATACCTCACTTTCCTTCAATCATTATTCTTCTTTGTCCTTCTACTTCGAGCATTCTTTAATTCGTCACCATTGTAGCATTCTCCATCGTCGTCATATTCGTCGCGATCATGAATCGTGAGGTAATTTTGAATTTTTTTTTTGGTGGTTTTATAATACGTGAATGTTATAAAAATTGTTGATTTTTATCAATTTTGCATTTGTGATTCTGAATCTATCATATTATAGATCGATAATTATTTTCTCTATGATGAACCAAGATAAGATTTAAGGTGGATATTTAAATTTTAGAGTTAAAATAATTACAATCGAATTGTGTATAATTTCCATAAAAAAATTTGAACACGCAGTACTCTAGAAATGAACATGTAGTACAAAATGAACTTTTAATACACTAAAAATGAACATTTAGTACAAAAAAATAAACATATTTTAACGATTTATTTTATTTTTATTTTCGTTAATATATATAAAGAATTTGAAACTATATGAATATATGAAAATCATGTTTATTTTTAATATACTAAATGTTCATAACTTTTTTTGACGTGTTCATTTAAATAATAAAGGTTCATTTTTTTTTTAAATGTTCATATTTTTTATGAAAGGTTCATTTTATTAGGTATGGTCTAGGTATTCAATGATTGTATGATAAACGTTCATTTATAATATACTAAATGTTCATATTTTTTTATACATGTTCATTTTTTTTAACGTGTTCATAATTTTTTTTTATTTAATGTTCATTTTTAAGGCCGTTGTCTAGCAATTCTATGATTATATGATAATCGTGTTCATTTTTAATTTACAATATGATCATATTTTTTTACGTATTCACTTTTTAATACTAAATTTTCATTTTATTTACGTGTTCATTTTTATTACTAAGTATTCATTTTTTTTTTATATGTTCATATTTTTTTTACTACATGTTCATTTTATAGGTCGTGGCGTATCTATTGGTCAGAGAATTTAGACATCAGGTCCAAATATCATATCTTAGCAAAGAATGAGGCCCATGAAACAAGCGTTGCCAGTTATTGCAAGCCCAGCCCATTACAAGCTTTTATGTGGATAGGGAACAATGGTCCAAAATCATACAAACTATTAGTCGCTCAATCTCATTTTGCTTGCCTCATTAACATATATTTTGTGGGAAATTTTCGGATCAAATAAAGCAAGTAAATGAGACGGAAGAGAGTACTATTATCAATCACTCCGTATCTAGGAGCTTTAACAGCTTAGCCTGGGCAACCTATACCCACATTGGAAAAAGAAAATCACATTGGACATTCAGCCAGTTCTTCATTGCAAAATACATTCAGATATTCTTAGGGAGGGGTCTTACTACTAGAAACACATTCAGAAAATCAACATGCAAGTTTACCAGAAAAAATAGAGGAAATTTAAGATTTTGTTAGGGAATTGATAATATAATACAATAATAAATGAAATATGAACTAGTGAAGGGAGATCCAATCTTAGGATCTAATGTACCTACAACCTCAATATTAACGAATTCGCTAAGATGTCATTGGCTAATCCTATAGAATTTGGAAAGCATGTTAATCACAAAATGACATGATATCGCCATCCTAAGCCCTAGCACAGATTTTTACTGATTCCTACAAAGAATGAAATGTTTCGTATAGTTTTTGGTTTCTTCTAAGTTTTCAGTTTCCTGATGCAAAGCCAGTCCCCCTCTTCTTCCAAAAAGGTATATCTTCTGATCATCATTGTCAACCTTCCCTGCGCTCTTACTATACTAGTAGTACTTCATTGTGGATGAGCTCTCTCTTAAGGATGAACCTGAAAAAAAGCACATACTACACATTCATATAATAGTTCTCACTAATCAATCCAAGCAAAGAAAAGAGGCAATCATACCCCAAATAGAATGGGTCATCAACTAGAGTAGAATACATGTGTCAAACTACGTAGCTAGCAAATCGATGAAAATGCACAATACCAAGGGCATCGGGTAGTTTTTTTCAGCCAGGATAGGCCAGGGTTATGCATTTTGTGCTGTGGTGGGACTAGGGCGAGGATTTCTTGTTGTTCCTGATGGTACCTCCCAACCCCCTATCTACATTTGTTCTATTCCATCCGAAAGGAAGGCTATGGTTGGAGTTTATATAGTAAAATCAACCCAGTCTTCTTTCAAAACAAAATAAAATAGTGTTTGCAGGAGGTAGACAGCAGAAGGAAGCAAATATAATTCTCACCTGCGGGTTTTTAAAGCTCACGGTTCTGATCTTGAACTCCCCTCTGCTGGTTGTCAGTTCGTCAAGTATCTCACAATCATCTCCCACCGGTTCATCTTCAGGAGTTTCTCTCTGTAAATCAGTCATTTATGATGTCACGTTGTTGCCCTCATATATAACTAAGACCGAGAAAGAGGAGATGGGTAGAGCTTGAAATACCTTAAAAGACAAGCTAAGATTACGCCTTGGTGTAGCAACAATCTCTTCATACTCAGCAGCATCCAATTCTTGCAGATGGATTGGATGAAACATCTTTGGGAGAATATGTTGCCGTATGATTATTAGAAAGAAGAATGGCAAGGGGAAAAGAATCCCAGCAATCGGTATCCAAGTAATCCCAAAGCACATCATCAAATACACAATCTGAAATAGTGTGAATGCAGCAATGCTTTTGAAGGGCACTGATTCCACATATGAAGCATGAGCTTCATCCAGAATCCTGCATCAATTGGTTTTTAATCAACAAGATCAGATTTCGATATCAGGGTTCAAGTTGTCATAAAAACTTATTTAGTATCTTTTCCAAATTTCACTTTACAAGTGCCACAATTTTTATCTAGGAAGTTAAAAACCATCACTTGTAGACCACTCGAATGTACTTCAATTGAAACTTACTTGTATCGTCTGGATGGTGTGATGAAAAGGAGGAGGATTCTTTCCCAGAACTGGCTTCCTGGAAGACTGTCAATGGCCATATATGCAAAGTATCCCCAAAGAACCGAGGTAGGTATCAACTTGATCACGGGCATAGCAAATACAGCGCCTGCTACAAGGACCGACTGTAAGAGGTTGCTTACTCTCTGCTCATTGACTCTAACTGGCAAATAAGCATCGATGTGATCGAGTCTAAAAGTACTGGCTGTACTGTTGTCCTTTCCTTCTTTTTTGCCCCCCTTCATGACTGCCTGTTTCAGATCACTAAGCTCTTTGGCAACTTGACGAGGCTGAACAAAGAAAATTTCATCACCCAACATTATCCAATATTCTAAAGATAAATTATCTCAAGTATCTTGAAAGCTTACATCTGCGCTTTGATCCATTTCAATGAAAATATCTTGCATCTGGCCATATATTTCAGTACTGCTAGCATTATTCTTTATATTTTGTTTTGCAGACTCCACCATCTTCTTCCCTATCAGCTGCAAATAGAATACATTATTAAGAAGGTCAAAGAATCAACTTACTAACAAGTTCATTTCCACAAGAACACACTTACATGCTTCTTGAGAGTAGCAAGGCTCTTAGTATGCATAGGAGATTGTGGAAGGACGCCATTTGATGGAGGGAGTCCAATCAATCCACAAAGCAATGTCTAAAATGGAACAACCAAATAATAAGGCATGAGTATTACTGTATCAGTCAATCTAATCGACTTCATGGAGATATAAGGATGGAAGTATGGAACAACAGGTTATTACATATTTAACATACCATAAAACCAAGCACCAAGATGTCATAGTGGTAAGCAGAAGGTTTTCTCAGATTAAATTCCTTTTGTTGTGCTAGTTGTGAAGCAACACTATGGTCAAAAAAATAGAGCCCCGCCACCATCACAGCAGGAATTATCGCAGCAAAGACGTATACAACAGGCACCTTAGCCATATCCTGTATTTTGAACACAATTTTACTAGTTAAAAACCAACTAAAATCTTATACAATGAACCGATTCAATAGTTCAAGGGCAGCAAGACGTTAATTGTGATATTGAAAAACTAGCAATTACCTTGACAACAGTCCAATGGTACAAGGATTCAGATTGCCAAGGAAGAGGACTATAGAGCCTTCGAGGAACTCCCTCTGGAACACCTTTAGGGACGCTAAAAGATATGGCAGTCCAAACCACAACCATGAAAGGAACTCCGTAATCTGCAATGAGGTTCCTCATACGGCCTGTACCATACCACCATGATCTTGCCCTACGGCTCTTTAAGGCCGTTGAAATAAGACCAAAGGTAAATAAGACCCCCAGCAACCCATTTACATAACGCCACTGGAACTGGAATTTCACTTCACGAGGATCCTCAGCTTTGGGGATTCCAAACTCACTCACAGCTCCCTACAAAAACAGCATTATAAGAACACTAAATAACACATCTGAACAATGAACCATACTTATTTAAATTCCTAAGTTTTCCTGATCAAACAATCAAGTTAGCAAACTATTTCTAATACCTTGATTGCCTCTTGGATAAAAAGCACTGTGATCAACATGCCAAAGAGCTCCCCAGCAACCCTGGTGAACCGATTGATGATCGCAGCAACATTGAATATCGAAAGAAGAATCAATATGAGGGCAGTCCATACACAAACCCTATGAAAGGCCAAAAAAAAAAAAAAAAACAAAAAAATCAAAGATTAATCATTCTTATACCAAAACCATCATGTAATTAAGGTATGTTCAGAAACTAAAATTATACCATCCTGCCCAAGCTAGATAAAGTTGTTTGCCCAAATCGGGCCGCCCATGGGCGAATTTGTATAGATAAGAGTACATAATCACGGTCGGTTCTGCAACCCCAACTATCAAAAGAGGCTGCCCACCAATTATAGATTGTATGATCCCACATATTGCTGTTGAAGCTAGAGTCTCAACTGTGCTCAAGCTTCCATCTACACATATAGTAAAAAATGAAAAAAAATAAACATCAAAATTAACCTATGAATTCTTCTTCTTTTTTGTTCTTTTTAAGTGTCGAGTATCTGACACGGGTACTTAGGTGAAATGAAGAGTCAGAGTAACATCGAGTAATCGAGTAAGCACCTGTGTCTCTGCTGAGTTGCTCCCCAAAAGCTATGACCGGAAGAGCAGAAGCAAAGAAGATGAATGTAGTTGGGGCTAATATCCTATACTCCAAAATTAAGAAAAAATTAGAAATTAAAATGAATTGATCAAAATTGAAGTTACACTTAATTGATTCAAATATAAATGTGAAAAACCCGAAAGATACCCGAATCCGGATCGAATACCAGCAATCCAATCTTGCTTATAACAAGCCAATCTTCCATTAAGATCATTTGCAATGCCCTGTAATGGTGGCCTCATTTTCCCAAGTCCTAATCTTGCTTCTAACATTGTAATCTACATTCATTAAAAGAATTAAAAAAGACAATTTAACTTATATTCAACAAAATTATTAATATCAAAATGAGGTACTTTAGCTTAGGCAGTGCATTGTAATTAACAAAGTGTAAAAGGTATTTTTTTTTATAAAATTATGAATTAAGCTTAATATTTTGCATCATTGCTGTTGATTTCAGCAAGAATTGCAAATTTTACCAAGAAATTTATTGGCTATTACAACTAACAAGATCTAAAGGTTGTACTTTGCTGACTTATATATTCTTTCGTACAAGAAATACAATGCACCAATTGACACCTAATTTAGTCACGCAATCCTAAATAAATATTATTTGAGGAAATACATTAAATATAGATTTATAAACACAAAATTTGGAAGTGCGAAAATTACAAAATAAAAATCATATTTTTATGCTATGAAAATTAAATCATGTGCTGGTGAAATGAACAGAAAGAAAAAGGCAAAAGTCACTTTAAATAGTTAAATCTTTTTAAGAAAAAGGATCCAATGAACTTTCAGGTACACTAATTTTTTCCTAAAAAATGTCATACTCGTAATAATTCGCCAGAAAATTCATAAAATTAAAAAAAAAAAAAAAAAAAAAATCACATTCACATCAATCACATGTGTTAGGGAGAGTACATTTATACAATAATCCTATCACCGACTTGACCGTCAAATTAGAAACAATATTTAGAGACGGAGGAAATACAGTAATAATTAAAGACATTGGTAAGTAAGTGAAAGTGAACGTACAACGTAAGACGAGGTTGCCGGAAAAAGCTGCCGGTGTCGGAAAGTTTCTCTGACTAGAAAGTGAGGAACGTAGAGAGAGAGAGGAGAGAGAAATGAGAAAAGAGGGGGGAGTGATAATGTTACATGGGAGGTTTAAAAAGACCCGCGCTTGGAGTTGTACAGTAGTACTGCAAATGTTTTTATGACAAGAACTGGAGTGGGGCCCAATTTCTGATCAAATTCTTGGAGTGTGGTGTTGGGTTTGTTGGTGTGTTTTCATGTTTCTGTGTATACTTTGTGCGCGTTTTATGAGCTAATTAGCTGTCACTCCCACTCTGTTTGTACTCACTAATCACTCTATTAGTCTACTATTCTTAGTCAATTTTGGCTGTTTGTTTTCTTTTTCATAATTTAATTTATTGTTTTGTTGACTGCTAATTTTGTTCTTAATGTTTGCCTCATTTCCTTTTTATATATGTACAAACTACTCCGTATTTATTTTTTAGGTTTGCCACATTTCCTTTTGTACGAGGCACTTTAGGGTGGTGATTCTCTTACCATCCCCCCATTTTCAAAGTGTCTAGCCCGCTAATTCGTACCGGGAGGACTTGTGAGAGGTTTCAGTTAGGTAGGGCTCTTCTCCTTACCAACCAACAAAAAAAATGCACAAACTACAAATATTGAAATTATTTAAGTATACTGTTGAATTGACTACCTTATATTTTGATGATTGATTTACGTAAAACAAACTCCGACTAATGATGTTTAAAAGAGTCTTGGTTAAGCAGAAGATTCAGGTTTGAAGTAATATGTTCCGGAGTAGGAACAACAAAGTTTGGAAGACTTGATGATGAATGCAAGCTTTCAAGATGTCCTCATATCTCTATATACTTAGTTACTCAGTGTATGAACTTAAGAAACAAAAGTGTTGGAAGGAACTAAGAAGAAACATGAAGTTCCTGAAGGAACTTGACGATTGACGGATGACTTAGAAAAGTTTTTAACAGTTTTCAAAATCCTTAATTTAAGGAAGAGATAAAATCAGTTTGAAAATATTGGGATAAAATCAGTTGAAAAGATTTATTTTATAAATAAATAAAATCTAAATAATTCTTTAATTTAAAAGATAAATTTATTTTAAATTAATTAATTGTTTAAATATCTTTTTAATAAATAAATATTTATCTTTTTAATAAATGTTCTTTTAAACTGATTTTTGACTTGGTAAAATTCTGTTTGCTTAAAAACAGGATGCACGTTGGATTTGGGAGTCAAGTTAGTGAAATCATGGTTCTCAACTTCCTCCACTTACATCCCAACTTCCCAGTATAGGTGAACGTGGGATTGAGGGGGAAGTAGGAATATGATGGAAGCTTGGATAATCTCCCTATAAAAACAGATCAACGTTAAGTTTTGAAAGTGTGGAAAAACAATCTTAAGTATTCTGAGCATAGAGTTTCAGTGTGTTTAAAAGAGAAGTTCCTTCCATCCTTAGTCTCTTAAGTTCTTTAGAAAATACTTGTAATCATTGTGTAATTGGGTTTGGGTTGTGAGAGTTGTAAAGTGTGAGATTTGAGAGAGTTGTTTACACTGTACAAGTGATTCGGAGTAGAATCACAAAGTGTGAGAAACTGTGATTGAGGGATCACAGTTGGGTAACTTGAGTTCCTCACGAAACTTGAGTCTAGGCAACGTATTAGTGATTGTAAATCATTTTTACATAGTGAATTTATTCATTACCTATCTCAGTGTCTTTTCTCTTAGTAGTAGATTTAATTCCGCAAAATTTACCATAGTCTACATACACTACAATTCACCCCCCCTCTTGTAGTATACATTGTTCTATCAGTTGGTATCAGAGCAAGGAACTCGGAAAAGCAGGAAGCCCTGTCGAGTCAAGTTCCTGGAGGAACAATGTCAAAGGACGAGAGACTAGCTGAAGGTTACTCTACACAAAGACCACCACTCTTCAATGGGAAGTACTATGCCTATTGGAAGACAAGGATGGAGATGTTCATACAGTCCGAGAATTATCAAGTCTGGCGAGCTATCGAAGTAGGAGATTACGAGGTAACCAAGACCAATGCAGAAAATGAGGTAATTCCTAAACCTATCTCTGAATATGATAGAAATGACTTTGAGAAGAAAGAGATTAATGCTACTGCTAAAAAACTCCTAGTTTGGGGTTTAGGGCCAGATGAACACACTCGTGTTATGGGATGTAAAACAGCAAAAGAAATATGGGATTTACTAGAAATAACCCACGAAGGAACTCATGAAGTCAAACGTTCTAAAATTGATATACTGCTTTCTAAATATGAACGTTTTGAAATGGGTTCAAAAGAAACTATTCAAGAAATGTTTACTCGTTTTAAAAATATTACTAATGAATTAGTTTCTCTTGGTAGAGTTGTTCCTATGGATGAACAGGTACGCAAAATTCTAAGAAGCCTTCCTGAAGATGAACGGTGGAGAGCCAAAGTGGCTGCTTTGCAGGAATCAAAGGACTTTACAACCTTTAACCTTGAACAACTTGCAGGTTCCTTGATAACTCATGAGCTTCACCTATCAAACAAAATTCAAGAAAGCTCAAAAAGCCGAGGAATCGCTTTAAAAGTTGCCCAACCAAGTGATGAGGATTCCGAATCTGGAGAGGAAGAAGCTGCCATGCTAGTCAGGAAGTTAAAAAAGCTGTACCGCAACAAAAGGTTTGGTGACCAAAAGAAAAGGAACTTCAAGAAGAACCAATACTCCAAGGAAACAGGAGGTTGCCACAAATGTGGGAACACAGATCACTTCATCAAGGAATGCCCTCTCTGGGAATCATAAAAAGGAAAAGGCAAAATGAAGGAACACGGAAAATCTAATACTCCTAACTTTTCAAAATCTGATTACAGGAAAGCCATGATAGCTGCGTGGGGAGACACAAGTTCTGAGGATGAAGAAGAATCCACGGAAGAAGAAACTGCAAACCTGTGTTTGATGGCTAAACACAGTGAAAGGTCAAAGGAGGTAAATCTCGAACCTAAATTTCTGAAATCCCTGTCAAAAGACAAATTAATTTCTTTGCTCATAGAAACATTGGATGAATATAAAGAAATATGTCTTAAACTTGGACAAAATGAAAAAGCTCTAGAAATCTATAAGGATCATATGAAATATTTGAATAGTTCAAGAACAGATGTTCAGGGAAGATTCTTTGATTTGCTAGATAGAAATACTATGCTTAAAGAAACACGGGAAAGAGTCAAAAATGAAAATATCATATTAAATGTTGATTTGACTCAGTATAAATTGCTATGCACTAACATTGATTCTAATAATGCTCTTCAATTGCCTTTAGTAACCTTTAATGATGATCTTGAAAATTTGAAAAAAGAATTGCAGGTTACTAAAGACAAAAATGAGTTCCTTGAAAAGGATCTAGAAAGAGCAAGAAACAATGAGAGTGTAATCCACATGGGAGTTCCAAAGTGGATACTTGAAGCTCAAACCAGAAGGACAGAAGGTTTGGGTTTCAACCACAAAAAGAAGAGTAGTAGTAAAAAGAAAAACTATGTGGAACTTCCTAGTGAGACTGTGTGTTCCTTCTGTGGCAAGTCAGGACACAAAGATACTGAATGCAAAAGAAAGGAACTTAAGTCCACTAAAAATATAGTTTATGTATGGCAAAAGAAAAATGAGTCTGCTGTATCAACGAAGGAACCCATGAAAGATGGGGTTCCTGAATCTAACCCTTAGTTTCTTTTGCAGGTCGTAGTGAGGGGGAACAACCAATGGTACCTCGATAGTGGTTGTTCCAAGCACATGACAGGAGATGAATCAAGATTTCTCTCACTGACGGCCTATACAGGAGGAACTGTGACCTTTGGTGATAATAAGAAAGGCAGCATTGTTGCCGTAGGAAAAGTTGGAAGGTCAAGTTCCCAAGCTATTGATAACGTTTTTTTAGTCGAGGGCCTCAAACACAGCTTATTAAGCATATCACAATTTTGTGATAAAGGAAACTCAGTAAGTTTTGATTCTGAAAAATGTAGCATCATTCAGAATGACACTGGGAAAGTTTTGCTGGAAGGAACTCGGAAAGGGAACACTTATACAGTGGATCTCAATACAGTTCCGAGGAACAACTTAACTTGCCTCAGTGTCATTGAGGATGATCCTTTACTGTGGCATAAACGTTTTGGTCATGCAAGTTTCTCTTTGATTGATAAATTAAGAACAAGGAACTTGGTAGAGGGACTTCCTTCAATCAAGTTCCTATGTGACAAAATTTGTGATGCTTGTGTGAAAGGAAAACAGGTCAGATCATCCTTTAAATCCAAGAAAATGGTGAGTTCCACGAAACCTTTAGAGTTAATTCATATGGATTTGTGTGGTCCTATGAGGATTCAAAGTAGAAGTGGAAAGAAGTATGTCTTAGTAATTGTTGATGATTATTCTAGATTCACATGGGTAATTTTTATGTCTAGCAAAGATGAGACTTTTGATGAGTTTGTCACATTTTTCAGGAGAATTCAAAAGTCCACCGGACATCAACTGATACACCTTAGATCTGATCATGGCACTGAATTTGAGAATTTTAAATTTGATGATTTATGCAGGGAACAAGGCTTAAGTCATAATTTCTCAGCTCCAAGAACTCCACAGCAAAATGGAGTTGTGGAAAGGAAGAACAGAACCTTAGAAGACATGGCTCGAACCATGTTAATAGCCAGCGATCTTCCAAGGAACTTCTGGGCAGAAGCCGTGAATACAGCCTGTTATATTATAAATCGTGTCATGCTAAGGCCTATATTAAATAAGACACCCTATGAACTTATGAAAGGCAGAAAACCGAATATATCTCATCTGAGAGCATTTGGTTGTAAATGTTTTGTGCATAATAATGGTAAAAGGAACATAGGGAAATTCGATGAAAGAAGTGATGAAGCCGTATTTCTCGGATATGCTACTAACAGTAAAGCGTATAGAGTTTATAATAAACGCACTATGTGTGTTGAGGAAAGTGTGCATGTTATATTTGATGAAACTAATCCACTTCCATGTACACAGGAACATGAGGACTATGACTTTGAAATTGGTCTAGTACGTCCTCAAGAACAAGAAGAAGATGCAGTAATTCCAAATAAGCAGCCAACTCGATTAAATGAAAATCATGAAAATCCAGAGAAGGAACTCGACATACAGACTGAAGTTCCTTCGAGATAACAGCCTCAGAATGAAGAACCTGCCGAGGAACCAATAACACAAGAGGAAATCACTAAAGAAGAAGCAACAGGCTCAGGAAATCAGAATAGTCGAGTTCCTATCCAAACCTTCCAGCCCAAACCTTGGAAGCACCAAAAGTCACACCCACTGGACAAAATTATCAGTGACTTATGCAAAGGAACTCAGACTAGATCGCAAATGAGGAACTTCTGTGCCTTCAATGCTTTTCTATCTACTTTGGAACCTCGCAACCAC